CCCGCGCCGCGCTCCGCCTGTGGCTGGGCTGCGTCTGCTTCGCGCTGGTGCAGGCGGGTAAGGGGGCCCGGGGCCGGGGCCGGGCGGAGAGGGTACAGCCTCCCCTCCTACGCTGCCACAGGGGAGTTCTCGGTTCCCTTTCCGCTCCCTGAGGACCTCCTGTGTCCCCTGCTCCCTACTCTCCTAGCCCGACCTCAGCGCCTCCGAACCTTCTTGACCCCTAGACCCGTCCTTCAGCCACTTAACCTCTTCCCTGGGATTTTAGGATCTTGATCCCTTCAGGCCATCCCCTAACCCTGGGTCTTTGCCTCAGTCACCTTTTCTGGCCCTGGGAGCAGCTGAGGACACCAGTGCCCCACCTTGGGCCTCCCTCTGTATCCCTAAAGACCTTTCTCAGAGACCCACAGGCAGCCGCACCTCTCTGTGCTGGAGCGACCATGAAGACAAGAACTGGAACCTGAGGTTGCAGGGTGTGTGGGGGCCCAAGCCTGCTACAGTCAGTGTCTGGCCCACCCCACGGGGCCCTGCCTCCCCAGATCACTCGGATCTGTCCCTCCTGGCTGCTGCTGCTACCCTCCCCCCCATCTCTTTCCTTGCCCTGCTTCTGTGTCCGTGTCTGTCTCTAATGCTCCACTTGTCGGCTCTCTAGATCTGTGACCACAGCCACCTGTCTGTGTCCTTCTGTCCCTTTCCATCTGCATGTCTGGCATAATCCCGGGGCCTTGAGTCCACTCATCTGAGAGGTATGGGGTTACTGCTCAGGCCCAGGGCTTCTAATCACAACACCTGCCCTCTTGAGAGACAGCCCCATGTGACTCTCCTCTCCCAGAAGGTTCTTGCTGTCCTGCTCCCCCATTGCTTTCCCACTTACTCTCTGAAATTTCTCCCCTTCTCCTTCTTCCTTCACCCAGAAGGCTTTGCCCTATCCTGGTGTCTCTCCACCGAGGGGCCCTGTTCCGAATGCCTCTCTCTAACTTCCTCCATCCCGGACACTTGAGGCCCCACGGAATATGGAGAGGTTCACACAGAGCGCTCTGCCCAGCTCACCACAATCCTGAGTTGCCCCTCACTCCCATGCCAGGGCTCAGCCCTTCCTGGCTCTTCATCTCGGGGTCTGTCTCCTTCCCTCAAGGTCACTCAGTTGACCGCATGGGGTTATAGAAAGGACCATAAACTAGGAGTCCTTGTGACTGCTTTCCATCTGATTAATCAGCTTCTACAGCTCTGCTCAGCTTTCCCCCACCTCCATACCTAACCACCCATCTACTAGACCTCATCCTGGCTGAGGCCTAGGCTCATCAGTTTTACCTAAGGACCCTTGGTTTGGCCAGTCTGTAGCAAGCAGGAGCTTCCCTACCAGTCACAAGGAGCCTGGAGCCTCTCAACCATCCAAGGCCCAGCTGAAGCCTTGGGTTCTCTTCTCCCTCTCCACATAGCCTCCCCCAGCTTTCCCCTTTCTCATTTCTGGTGACACTGGGCCTCAGAGCCGGGCATGCTCAGGCTCAGGTGCCTCCCTGCCCTACAGACAGCCCCTCAGCCCCAGTGAATGTCACCGTCAGGCACCTCAAGGCCAACTCTGCAGTGGTCAGCTGGGACGTCCTGGAGGATGAGGTCATCATCGGGTTTGCCATCTCTCAGCAGGTAACCCTTGAGGGCGCTTGGGAGGAGAGGGCATATCAAGACGGTGACAGAAAACTGGAAGCAAACAGTGTTGCATGCCTGTAATCCCAGAACTCAGGAGGCATGGCAGAAGGATTGCAAGTTCAAGGCCAGTCAGGCAACATGGCAAGACCCAGTCTTTAAAAAAAAAAAAAAAACTGAAAAGAAAAAGAAAAGAGAGGATAGTGTCTAGTATCTGGGATGGAGGGTGGTGGCAGAGAAACAGAAAAGGGAAAGAAACACAGGACAAGAGATATGAGTGCCAAGCTGTACATTTAGCTTAGAATCGTGGCCACAGAAAGTCAGTGGAGAAGGGTTTGGGAATGAAGTTCAGAGCATGGGTCTGACCTCAGACACACGGGAGTTTGGGACGCACTGGCATTCTCAGTCGCTGTGTGGCCTTGGGCAACATCCTGACCTCTCTGAGCCCGTTTTCTTAGCTATACCGTGGCGATAATGGCACCCAAGGGCGGGATGATGGTGATGTACGTGAAAAGGACTTGTCACTGTGGAAGTGGGCAGTGTAGGGTTGGTGCTGGCACACTGACATACCAAGCCCTCCCCCTTTCAGAAGAAAGATGTGCGGATGCTCCGCTTCATCCAGGAGGTGAACACCACCACGCGATCGTGTGCGCTCTGGGATCTTGAGGAGGACACAGAGTACATTGTGCACGTGCAGGCCATCTCCATCCAGGGCCAGAGCCCAGCTAGCGAGCCTCTGCTCTTCAAGACCCCACGCGAGGCTGAGAAGATGGCGTCGAAGAATAAAGGCAAGCCTGGGCATGCTAGAGTCCCAGGGTGGGGGCAGTTAGGCGAGGGTGGTTGGGCAGAGCAGGGAGGAAGCAAAAGCACCTCAGAAGATGGAGGTTTGCTTTGGTCCCCCAGGAGGAGACTGGTGTGTAAACGCCCCCCTTTGGATTGAGTCCAAATGCTGCCACCCCAAGCAGCCTTCACGATGTTCCTGGAACTCTTCATGTTGGGTGTCTTGGCATCGGTAGAGGCACTTCTTCTTGTGGGCTTGGCCCTGGAGGAGTGGCTGGGGAGGAAAGGAGCCCAGCACTAGCTAATGTCTCCCCACAGACGAGGTGACCATGAAGGAGATGGGGAGGAACCAGCAGCTGCGAACAGGCGAGGTGCTGATCATCGTGGTGGTCCTCTTCATGTGGGCAGGTGAGTCAGGCCTCCAGGGCCTTCTTCACTCACCCTCGAGGAACTGAGGGCCCCAACCCACCGTCACCAAGGGTAGGGGGCTTGCAGATGTCTAGGAGGGGGTGAAACCCCTAAGTCCTGCCTGTGGCGGCTCTGAGAGCTAAATCTGACCTTTTCTCTAGTCCCCTCCACCCAAAACACAGCATGGTATTACTGTCTTGTATGCTGTGGACACGCTTGCCTTCTTCCCCGCAGAAGTGGTCCAGCCTCCTAGGCAGGTCCAGTCAGTGTACCTTAGTCACAGCTTCCTCCTCTTCTGGGATGCTGGGCATCTGCAGTCATCAAGCTTGGGAAGCTCAGCGAGGAAGGCACTGCCTGACCTCAGACTTGGAGCACTCTCTTCAACTACCTATTTTCCTAGATGCGGCTGAGCTGCAACCACACAGATCGCCCATCTGCCCATAGCAATGGCCTTCCAGCCTTTGTGGGCCCACAGCATGGTGTCCCTCTTTAGTCTTTGTGTAATTTGGGTGGGTAACTCTCTTTTCTTCCTAGTCTCTAGCTCCCTGAGGATAAAGTCCACATCATTCATCCTTATATTCAATACAACCAACCACTCCATTCCAGACTCCACTCCACTCCACTCTAGAAGAGCCTTGTGCTTGCAAGGAACTTGGGCTGCAACAAGATTGGGCTTAACTATAATTGAATATAATGAGTGCTATAGTTGTTCTAATGTGGAGAAGGGCTGGAGAGATGGCTCAGAGGTTAAGAGCAGTTGATACTGATCTTCCAGAGGACGCCAGGTTAGTACCCAGCATCCATATCAGGTGACTCACAACCACCAGAAACTCCAGTTCCAGGGGATCCAACACTTCTGCCTCTGTGGGCACCTGTACCCACATGCACACACACAAAATTAAAAATAATAAAAAAACCAATAAACTTAAAAATAGCACTAATACGAGAAAAGGAGATGAGGTTCAATTCTGGAGCTAGAAGTAGAAAATTTTTAAAAATTTAAATTAAAACAAAACAAAAAACATAGGGGCTGGAGGTGTGGCTCCGTGGTAGAGTGCTTGCCCATCATCCCTGAGGTCTTAGGTCCAATCTCCAACACTGAAGACAGGACAAAAGACCTAGAGCAGAGGCAACATGGGAACTGAGCTGTGAGGGCTGAACAGAAGCTAATCAGGCAGCCAACAGAGGAAGGTTGTTCGCGATAAGAGCTTCAAGAAACATCAAATTAAGCTCACAGACTGACTGAGGGTAGCTGTGGCCTGTGACAGAGCGTGGGGTGTCGGGAACAAAGGGTAGAGAGTCTGAGGGCTGGAGTCTTTTGAGAGATTTGAACATCATACTCAAGCCTGATCAAGCTGAGGGCAGACTGTTGAAGAAGCATTTGGGGGGGAAATGCTTCTTATTCCCACAAAAAAGCAGGTACTCGAGAAAAGGCAGGAAGACGAGGGCTAGACAAAAGAGGAGGTTTGATTATGTGGTACATTATTAGGCTTGGCACAGACAGTGTTTACATAATCACAACGCTATAAACAGAAAATTAACCCAAACTTGTGGTGGAAGTCTATTAGGATGTTGGAGAGGGAAGTTGTTGGGCTTCATCTACTATGATGGGAAGTTGGGAGCGATCTCAGATGGACCAGGAACACTATACAGGCAGAATGGGGAGCATTTCTTGAACCGGAGTTAGCAGTGTTGAGTACTATCTGCGTTACTAGGTTACTAGTCAGTGAACGGCTCTGAGCATCACCTCCCTGCCGCCCCATGGTGTGACCTTGAGAGTTACTGACACCCTCTCACCAGTGTGCTCCTTGTGCCCTGGGACTAATAATAATAGGTTGGAGTTGTAAGGATCAAGTGAGATTGACTACGTCAGTTCACAGCACAGGGCCTGGAATAGGCTCAGCAAATGCCATTAGCGTTCCTGTGGCGGCCGTCAGAGGCTTAAAGAAAGGGTAACGGGGAGACATATGATCAGATCTGTGCTGTGGGAGGGCCAGCCCAGCAGCAGAGAAAGGGATGGCTCATGCCCGGGTAGATGGGAAAAGGTGCCAGAGGCTGGAGGGAGGCTGCAGCAGCGCAGAGGCCATCTGGAGATGGCAGCAAGCCCTGGAGGGGAAAAGGCAGGCAAGGTAAGAAATCAGTCCCGGGCCTCTGACCGCTCCTGCTTGTCTTCCTAGGTGTTATAGCCCTCTTCTGCCGCCAGTATGACATCATCAAGGACAATGAGCCCAATAACAACAAGGAGAAAACTAAGAGTGCATCAGAAACCAGCACACCAGAGCACCAGGGCGGGGGTCTCCTCCGCAGCAAGGTTAGGGTGACATCTGGGCTTGGTGGATGGCCCTGTGCCTTAAACATCTGTAGTCCCTGGACTGCAGAAGGGGTCAGCTCAGGGCCTGGCATGGCAGCAGCTGGGCAAAGCCAAGCTTGGCTGCCGCCTGTGTGACACAGGGGACACTGCAAATTGATTTTGGATCCTTGCCTTTTACAGGGTGCCAAGGGCCAGCGGTGCTTTGTTTTGTTTTTTTATAAGATAGCCAATGGGAACGGCAGAGTTCCTGGTTGATGTGGGAGAGACAGCAAGTGTAGGGGTGATGTGTCTGGGGTGGTGTTTTATGTCTGTCCCTTCATTTCCTCTTGTGTGAAAACAGATATGAAGCCTTTTCAGTGTGCGCTCTGAGCAGCTCAGGAGACAGTAGAGAATGTGAGAGGACCTCGTTGTTCTGATGATGACTGTCCAACAAATATCTGGCCCTCTCTGCATCTCCTTCCCCGTCCATCTTCTCCTATCATCGGGCTTTACTATCTTCTCTCTTGGCTTCTCTCTTTCTGATGTCTTGTCCTGAAGCCTCTCATTAACCCTTAACTCCAGGAGCACCTCAACAACGCCAGTGGCCGAGGCTGCACCCAGAGACAGAACTGTGGAATGTGAGAGAGCCAACCCAAGGGAGGTCTTGGCTGTGGACAGACTGGGTGCCAGGGTTCTCAGTCCAGGACTCATGTCTTGGCCACTCAGCTTGACCAAAGGCTGTGTGTGAAAGGGCAGAGGTGACTTCCAGGCAGAGCTATTCTTTTCTTCCTGTGGGGACAAGAGCCTGGCATTTGGGCTATAGCCCTGCTGGTCCTTCTCTCCTCTGCCCGGTTTCCCATCTTGCAAGAAGTTTATTCAACCAGCTCTGGCCACTTCTCTTGTTTGGTCCCTTCCCAGTTTCCAAACAAGCCCTCAGTGAACATCATCAAAGTGTGGCTGGCCCCGTCTGCAGGGGGAGGCTTTCATTCTCTGCTGGTCCCTGTGTCCTTCCTGGGCACAGGGTGAACGTTGACTAAAGTGGTGGGGGCACAGCTAGCCACAGTTCCTCTGCCCCATCTTAGTCTGATGATGGAGGCTGAACTATAAACCCAAATTCTGCAAAAGCCAAAAAACCAAACAACAAAGAAAAAGCCACAAAGCTAGAAGGCCTGGTCTGCACTCTGGAGGAGACAACACCATGCTGCATGAGACCCAGCCTCCCACCTCCCACTTCTGGACTGGCTTCCTCTTTGAGATAATGTGCAAAGCTCTGGGAGAGAGCAAGCACCAAGAGTGGCTTGAGCTGTGTCGGTTCAACCAAGTGCTCCAGAGAAGCTGTGGAGCTGCCTGCTTCTCAGGGTCCTGACTCCATCAGGCCCTTTCTAGCCCAGTCAGAAAGGACATCTGCGGTGTGAGGCACACCTTTGCAATGCGTGTGATGTTATTGTTTTGCCGCTTGGAAAACAGTCAGAGGGCTGCACTCCAGAGGGCAGAGGCTTCTGCGGAGGCCTGAGCTGATTGCTGGTGTCTTCAGTCTTTGCAGTGATATCAGGACGGATTCTGAGAAGACCTGGAAGGTGGTGTCTCAGCACTGCAGCAGCGTCAGCTTGGGAAACCGGAAAGGGCACATCTATAGCCTACACCCTAGGGGCTGCTGAGCGACCTGCTGGAAAGCCATTCACCAGGCAGAGAGCAGCTTTGCTGTCACTACTGGCCCCTGAGTCTTTGGATCTTGCCGTCTCATTCAGGGTCCTATGAAAGTTATCCAGGGTTCTCATGCCCTTCCCTAGAGCTTGAAGTGTGAAGTGACAGCTAGTTCTCCCTGTTACCTATTCTTTTTCCTCTCCTCTGCCCCTTTCTTTTCTCTTTTTTTCTTTTTTTTTTTTTTTTTTTTTAAAAAAAAAAGGTGCTTGATGAGGCAAGCGGACTTCTCTGGGATATGCACCATGGCTGCCAAATACCTGCCTGGGAAAAGTAGACTCTACATCTTCCATTGTTGGCTAAGGTCATGTAGGAGGCTGTTCCCAGCACATAGCAGGTGCTTGGTCATTATTTGTTGTACTGAATGATGCACACTGGTGCCCAAGTCAGAGAGCTGAAAGCCATCACCCAGTGACTGCCCCTTCATTTGGGTCTATAACAGCTCTCAGGACTGGATCAGCCACCACTGCTTGCTCCAAGTGTGGCGGCACAGGAGAGACAGATCAGGGCAGATGTCAGCAAAACAAAGGGCTTCCTCCTGGGAGGGCATGAGGTTCCACTCATTGTCTTGTGACTTCCATCCCTGCTGAATGGGGCTGCAAGGCCAAGGCTCCTTAAGAAAGGTCCTTACCTCGATCCAGTTAGAGCAATAACCACTTTTTAAATGTAAAATAAAGACAAATGAAAAGGCACACCCTTGTCCTCTGGTAAATGCCCAAACGTTGCCCTCTTTTTCTGGCAATTGGCAGTAAGTCAGGGTGTGTGGAGGAGGGAGTCAGTTCTCTTCCATTTTGGCCTGCAGCTTCTTAGGGACATGCCTGCCAGCCAAGCTGGAGTTGGAAGGGAATTCTCGAACAGATGGGGGTGCACGTGCAGGGGAAGAAAATAGATGCTCCACCATCCTCTTTCTGAGGCTCCTCTCTAAACTCGGCTTGGGCTGCCTCACCACATAGGTATGCAGGCGCCTGCTCGGTTTCTTAAAACAAAGGGTTTTCCTCTCAGGAGAGCACTGTGTGCTTATTCCTGCCAGAGGACTGTGTATGGTTCTTAGCTGGGGTGGGTAAGGAAGGAGGAGAGAATTGCAAAGACTGCTTTCTGCAGAAATCATTCAGTGCTCACTTCGTGCTCTTCTGGGCTGTTAAAGGAACATCATTAAGATCCCAACGGCAGGCTGAAAGGCAGGCAGAGTAATGATGCCATTAGCCAATGAGTGAACTAGGAAATGGGGCACCTCGAACATTCCTGTCCAGAGCCAGGGGAGAGAACGTCAGATGTGCAGTGTGTAGAGCAGGCTGCTCAGGTCCCAAGAGCAGAGGGAGAGGAAGGTCTCAGAAGCCTTTGAAGAGTCAGAGCTCTAAGCCCAGGCTCTCTGCTCATATACTTCCGACTGAGAGGCATAGGTAGAGGTATTTAGCAGGGTTTGGAGGGCAAGGTTCCCTGTCCATCCGTGCCTTGGGTGCACCCCAGGAAAGAGTAAGCTGCTCCTCTAGCGTAAAGGCCTGTCCTCCCTCCCGAAATGATGATGGCTCTCTTCTGGAATCAATTGCTATTTGCAGTCAAACGCCACAGCTACTACTTGAGAAGCGCTTCCTCCCTTCCTCCCAGATGACTCCAAAGGTTCCTTGCAGTTTAGGAAAGCTGAGACCAGGACCACAGCAGGCAGAAGACCCTGACCTTGGGCAGTCACTTCTCTGAGGGTGGAGTAGGCTTCCTTTCTACCAATCCCACATTCAGAGAGGGTTTCCAGAGCCCATTCACCCAGGATAATGACTAAAGTCTGTCCTAGAAACACAGTCAGTGGAGGCCAAGAGGCTAAGGGGAGAAGGCTGCTGGGTATTTGGAGCAGGGTCCTTTCTTCTGTCTTCTAACCCCTAGCGTTTCAGTACTGTGTCCTCTAAAGTCTACCCCAGCCCTTTACAGACATACATTTCACCAGGCCATCTACGACAGGCTTTCAGACTTCTACTTTATTTTTTACTTACTGAATTTTGCTTTTAAGAAGTAGCCTCCAAAAAACTAACAAACAAACAAACAAGAGAGGTAGCCTCCAGGGGACTGGAGAGATGGCTCAGCGGTTGAGAACACTAGCTGCTCTTCCAGAGGATCTGGATTCAATTCCCAGCACCCACATGGCAGCTTATAACTGTCTGTAACTCCAGTTACAGGGTATCTGATACCTTCACCCAATGCACCTAAAATAAAGTTAAATAAGTTAAAAAAAAAAAAAGTAGCCTCCAGGAGCAAATTGCTTCTATAAACAAGGCACTTTGGCAGCCCTGGACCAGCCTATAGAAGAAAAAAATATCAAATCTCAAAATACAGCCTGAAGCTAAGTTAAAGAGATCTCTTTGTACAGATAGTAGCCTGGTGACACATTTCAGGATTGTCACTTAGGTTACTTTTAAAGATTGCCTCAAAGATCATATTCCTCCTGTTTCTGATTGGGTGCTGGGCACGGCCAGATTTTCCATCTACACATTCCGGCTGTTACGGGGGAATAAATGGATTGGAATGACAAGGCAGGTGCTTGTTCATTAAGGAATTCCAACACTGACCAGCTGACTCTTTCTGACAAATGGACACATTTACTCGACAGGTGCCCCAGCATTCATACACACACAAATACACACACACACACCAAACCCTGCCCCGACATACATACACACATGCACCCGAAACCCTGTGATTGTTTGGGGGAATAACTGTTTTCTTCTAGAAAACAGGACCTTGGTTTCTCATCCTATATAAGCTCAAGATGGTCTTCTTAGAGCATGAGCTTGCTCCCCATAGAGAAGGCTCCTTTTCTTCCTTTCTACCTACTTCTCTGTAACAAGATGAATGGAAGGTTTGAGACACCATCATTTCAGAAAATTCATCCTGCTTTCTGAAACTTTCGGTGCCTAGGGTAGAAACTGTCACACTGATGAACAGGAAATAATTACCAGAAGGCGCTCTACACTTGACAGGAATAATGCATATACACAAGTCAAGAATACTACACACTGAGATAAGGGTATCAAATAGCTAAATGCTTATCACATTTCTGTGTAGTCTTTTGCCTTGAGTAAGACTGGTTTTGTCTAGAATACACACACACACACACACACACACACACACACACAGAGAGAGAGAGAGAGAGAGAGAGAGAGAGAGAGAGAGAGAGAGAGAGACAAATTTTAGATAGAACCTGGCATGGTGGCACTTGCCTGTAATCTCCTTCTTTTCAGGAGACGGAGGCAAAACTTCAAGTTTGAGGCCAGTGTGGTTTCCTAGTGAGATTCTGTCTCAAAAACACCCCCAATGGGTTGGGAGAGATGGTTGAGTGGTAAAGAGCACTGGCTGCTCTTCCAGAGAACCTATGTTCAATTCCCAGTACCCACATAGCAGCTCACAACTGTCTGTAACTACAGTTCCAGGGATCTGACACCCTCACAGAGACCGACATACATGTAGGCAAAACACCAATGCACATAAATAAAAATAAATCCTTAAAAAGTGTTAAAAAAATGTAAAGAGCAGGTTAAGGAGCCTGTCCAAGTATGTTTCTCCTTTCCTAAAAGAAGCAGAATTTTAAGAGCACTAGCTAATGTAGGTGACAATCTATCATTGCTGCTCTTGTGTCCTTGCTCCTAGGGGTAAATGTAGGAAGCCCACGTTCATAAAGGGAATCTAAAGAATGTTGTCTCTCCATTATCTACCCACATCTATCCAATCTTCATGCTAGATTCCTGAGCAATAATTTCTGGAGAAGTTGGGCTAAGAACAACCACCAATTTCAAATGACTTGAGTCTGGTTTCTCCTATCTTCAAAGGGAGAATGCCCTGGAATAGCATGGCTTCCTCCTCAGTCAGTGCTTGGGCAACCAATCAGGGAGCCATGGGAAGGAATGCAAGGAATTGCATGCCTAATGGTGCTGCATGGTCTTCCCCCTCTGCAAAAACAGCAGCACAGTGGTATTTCAGGCTCTGCCAATGTCAGGCTCCTGACATGCACCATATGTAGCTGCAAATCCCAATCAATCTCAACATTTCTCAGCTGCCGGAACGCCTTCCTCAACACTGTAATTTACCCTCAAAAGAGCAGGGAGCAAGCACCTCCTTCTCAGAACCATGTTCTACTCAGTACTGCCACCCTCCCATATCCTACTGAACGACCTACGCAGAGGAAGGCACAGAACCCTCCTCCAAGCCCGAAACAGACGGCCACAGTACATATGCCACTGACAAGAACTTTTATTTCTTTTTAATGACATTAAACACAACTGCTACAAGGGGAAAAACATGATTAAAAAGAAAAAAAAAAGGAGACACCAAACTTCAGTTTCATAATTGATCCCAACAAGACAAGTACAGAGGCCATATTAGATGCCAAAATACTGGCTACTCAGGCTCCTTACTTACAAGTGAACCATTTAAATAGCAAATTTTTACTTTGCTTTGTCAAGACCCCTGTGATAGGAATGTCATCATGGATGATAAAAGCTAGGTAGAGTTAAATGCACATAACCCTTACTCAAATTTAAAAATACAGCAAGAATTTAATCTGTAACACAAAACTTAGAGGCCAATACCAAATCTAATGTAAGAGATATGAAGAGATTAAAACTCTGGACTCTGCCCATTACCATCTTTAAGGCCAACATGCCAGATAACGAGTTTTCTTTGGCTTTGTTTTTTGCCTTAAAGAATGCCATGTTAACCAGCAGAGAACAGCTCTCCTCCCCCAGTCCAACAGATTCAATTAGGCTGCTAACACTGTGGAAAAACAGAATTATCTGAGCTAGAGGAAATGTGATTGTCACATTTTTCTAGTTAACCTGTCACTCATCTGATTTGGCAAAGGCAATGCTCCCATTATACATTCAGTCTTTAACCCCACAGTCCCAGGAGAAGAATAGCATCTCAGATTTCTCCTAAGCAAATGCTGTCCTTCACTCCCTGGGCTATCTATGGGGGTTACTACTTCAGCTAAATTAAATTTTAACTTTGTTTTGGTCCCAAAGGTGGACTACTATTTGGCATATCTCATCCTATCAGGCTAATTTACAGCATCTTGGACAAGTAAACAATAATTATGCCAACTGAGAGTGGAGATTAGACTACTGCCTTTGAAGGTCTAGTCACAGGATCTATACCAACAAATAGAAAATCCTTGCTGGGGGGAAAAAAAAAGTCAAAAGCTAGGCATGGTAGCACACACCTTTAGTCCCAGTACTTGAGGCAAAGGCAGGCAGATCTCTGAGTTTGAGGTCAGCCTGGTCTACAGTGCGAGTTCCAGGACAGCCAGAACTCCACAGAGAAACTCTGTCTTAGGGTTTAAAAAAAAAGAAAAGAAAAGAAAATTCTTGCTTGACATAGTGATACACACCTGTAATCCCAGTACTTGAGAGGTGGGGCAGGAAGATCAGAAGTTTAAGACCATCTTGGGCTAAACAGTGCATTGAAGGCCAACCTAGTCTCAAAAACAAAACAACCCCCAACTGACACACATAAAAAGAGTTAGTAAGAAAGAAAATCCTTGACTGGATAAAACCAACAGACACTTGGGAACATTTATCCAAACCCACTGAAGACTTGGGGGGAAAAAAAAAAATCAAAGTCACTTTTCTAGCCAAATGGTGGTGGCACACATCTTTAATCCCAGCACTCGGGAGGCAGAGGCAGGCGGATCTCTCTGAGTGAGGTCAACCTGGTCTACCGAGCAAGTTCTAGGACAGCCAGGGCTGCAGAGAGAAACCCCGTCTCAAACCTCCTTCTCCAAATCACTTTTCTAAAGTGGAGTAGAATATTTAGGATGGGTTATCCACATTAAAAAGAGAGAGAGAGAGAGAGAGAGAGAGAGAGAGAGAGAGAGAGAGAGACTGATGAAAGAAACCCAGAGAGCAGTTGCACAACTCTGAGTAACCTTCACAAAAGGAATGATAGCAGCATGACGCCATACTATAAAACTTTCCAAAATGATGTCTACAGCTGCCCGTAAGACATCCACTAATACAGACATACAAAGCCTTCAGCTTTGGTCAGAATATCAAACTGTACTCAAGAGCAGGCAACACTGTGACACATGGGCTCAATCCTAACTTCCCAAGATGTTCTTGAGTACTGATGTGAAATGGTAAGAGTCGGACCAAATCCTAACATCCAGAGTGTAAAGCTAGAGAGGGAAAGAGGGCCTCTCCAAAGGCTTCCCAGGAAGGACGCCCCTGAATAACACCAACACATAACTTGGGGTTCTGCTCATGAAACTGAAGATTCCCAGACATCTAGATGGGCACTGGCCCATCAAGATTCTGGTAAAAGTTCTTCAGTAAACAGAAGGTACTCTGAAAGGCGTGTCTACGTCTAACAGGACATAAGAACACCTCCTGTAAAAATCCAGGAGTGGAGTGGTCACTGGGAGTGGGAGAAAAGAAAAAAAAAATCCCTGAAGGGACAGAGAAACCAACCAGTCACAAGACTATGGAGGATTCAACAAGGGTTAGTCAGCTGTCTTTTGTCAGTTATATGTATAAGGTTGACAAACACTGTGAGGAAGATATAGTTAATAAAGAATGAAAAAAGCCAATAATTAAAAAACATAAAGGCAGCTAACAGGTACAGAAAAGAGAGGATTTACATTTTTTAATCTATCCTTTCAATAGGACTTTTCTCCTACTCCATCTTATTTTAAATGTCCTGAATTACCAACCTTAAAATACTGACAAGTACTCAAGAGATTCAAATTTAAAAAGAGGAGTTGTTAAAAGTGCTTTCTCCCCATTCACGAGTCATCAACAGTAACACTGGCTTGTAGCTGCAGAACAATCCCTTCTTACAGCAGACTGGAAGATGACTGATTGCCTTGGGGTAGTACAAGGAGACTGTGCTTAGAGCTGGTATTTTACTTAAGACTGGATGTTCTGACTTAATGCAGGCCTTCAAAAGGGAGCTACCTTCATCTTAAATTAAAAAAAAAAGGAAGAAAAAAAAAACAAAAAAAACTACATTGCTGAAGTTGAAACATGTACAGACAGACACAAATCAGGAGATTCTCATTTAAAAAAAAAAATTAAGACAGTAACAGGTATTTTCAAACATTTCCAAAAGGTGACAAATTCTTTAAATAGAAATCTTGTGAAAAATAAAACTCAAAATATACAAACAAAAATAGCAGAGGAAAATAAGATGCTACTCTGGACTGGACCCTGGGTAAGGACTGTCACTGTTGATGGGATGAAACATAAGGACTGTAAGAGAAGTCTGGGAGACGCTGGAAACGGTGGTGGCTCCGCTTGTTTCTGTCAACCCACTGACTCAGACTGTATCTTTGTAGAGGTTTCTGTCGGAACCGGGCATAATTTCTATTGAGAAGAGAATAAAAACAGGAAGGATTTTCAGTTGGAATGGTCATTTGTATACAAAACAGCTACTAGAACTAATTTTTTTGTCTGTTTGTTTGATCTTGTTTTTCAAGACAGGGCTTCTCTGTGTAATAGTCCTGGCTGTCCTGGAACTCGCATTGTAGACCAGGCTAGCCTTAAAATAACTCACAGAGGGGGGCTGGAGAGATGGCTCAGAGGTTAAGAGCACTGCCTGTTCTTCCAAAGGTCCTGAGTTCAATTCCCAGCAACCACATGGTGGCTCACAACCATCTCATAATGGGGTCTGGTGCCCTCTTCTGGCCTGCTGGTATACACACAGACAGACTATTGTCTACATAATAAATAAATAAATAAAAAAAAATAACTCACAGAGATCCTCTGCCTCCCAAGTGCTGGGACTAAAGGCATGCACCACCATGCCTGGCTGCTATCACTACCATTTTTAAAGATATTATTATTCCTAGAAATCAGATTATATGTTGCTTTTTGTTTATTTGAGACAGGATCTCTCTACACAGCCTTGGCTTTCCTGGAACTCACTAATGTAGACCAGGCTAGCCTCAAATTCAAAGTGATCTACCTGATTCTGCCTCCTGAGTGTTGAGAATATTTGCCGCCATGCAAGACTAATACTATATTTTAGAAATTTATACTATTTTAATTATATGAAAGCTATCTCATAAAGCTATTTCTTTCCAACTCTCAAAGTCACCTCATTTCTAGAGGTATTGTTCTAAGGAAAACCAATGTGTAATGTTTAAGATAGCAATGTTTAAGATGTGCAATGTTAATGGTAGCATATCCCTGTAATCCCCAGCACTGTGAGGTAAAGGCATCCTTGGCTACACAGAGGCCAGTGTGAGCTTTAAGTAAGGCCCTGTCTCAAAAAGCCAAGAATAAAGTAGAATTGTATTTTCTCCCTCTAGCAGTTTTAGAGCAGGATATGTATCTCATTGATTCACCAGACCTAGACCTCCAACAAGACTGCACTATAAACAGATCAAGGGTGCTTAGGCCGCATCGGTTAAAATTAGATAAAAGCAGAGTCCCAGAGAAGGTTAAGTCATCATGTGAGTGTCATAGGCTAAGTTTAGGGACAGAATAACTAACAACATAGACCAATAGTAAGATTTGAGGGTCACCTGCTCTGGGTGTGAGTTCTAAGAAAGACCCTTAAGAATATAACCCAATCTTAATTCCAAAAATGCTGCCAAGAACCATGTAGGAAGCTTGCCAAAGATACTGATTCTAGCTGGGCGTGGTGGGATCACACATGGAATCCCAGTATTGGGGAGGCCAAGGCAGAGAAGTTCAACAAGACAGCCCCATGGGTAAAGGTACCTGCAAGTAAACCTAACAAACCTGAACTCAACCCCCAGGATTGACACGAGGGAAGAGGGTTGTCTTCTGACCTCCATGTACATGCTGTGGTACAAGTATCCAGCCAGACTTTACAATAATAGTGAATCAAAAAAGGATTCTTAGACCCTTTGTCCCCTGGAGTTAAGGCCGGGACATTACACAGCTGGTTGTGAGAAGCAGCCAAGGCTCAAAATAATTTTTAGCAGTATTTTTTTTTTTAAGATTTATTTACTCATCATATATATAGTGTTCTACCTGAAAGCCAGAAGAGGGCACCAGACCTCATTACAGATGGTTGTGAGCCATCATGTGGTTGCTGGAAATTGAACTCAGAACCTCTGGAAGAGCAGCCAGTGCTCTTAACCACTGAGCCATCTCTCCAGCCCAGCATTTGTCTTTTATCTATCACTATATGAGACTATCTGCTGAATTTTTTAATCACCCCATCCAAGTTAATATTAGTGAAATCCTACTAGGGAAGTACTGACATTAACTTCTACACTAGTAAGGAAATTAAGCTTCAGATTAAGTAACTTTCCCAATGCCACATAGAGGAGTAGGGAGAAAAGCCTGGATTATAATTCATTTATCTGACTCCAAAATGTATTTAGTAACAATTATGTTACACTGCCCCCTCTTTATTGAGACGTGTGTGTGTAGTAGAGCTTACAACTGAGCTACCTTTTTATCCCCACATCATCTGAGAACTGCTATGTTTTCTTGTCTGATTTTGCTTTACTTATTTAAGAGTCTTGCAATGTATTCTGGAATTTGCTATGTGTTGCAAGATAGCTTAGAATTTATAGCAATTATCCTGCTTTTGCCTCCAGGATGCTGGGATTAAGTGCTATGGTTGTGATGGAAGCCAGCATAACTAGAATAGAGTAAGCAGTAACAGCATAGATGAGGTTGGTGAGCCCAGCAAAACACACAGACATTCTTAGAGGACCAAGGATGGCCAGCTGATTGGAAGCTAGTGGAAAGAGTGAAAAAGAAGGGAACCTAACTTGTGCTTTAAAAGAATCTCTCTGGCTTCCAAGGTAAGAACAGTAAGCAAGCAATGACATGTAGGATACTTGTAAGAATCCAGATAAAATGGTAAGATATGGTCAGCTCTGGGTATATATGTAAAGTCTATATGATTTCCTGATACCCTAATATGGAATGTGAGGGGGGAAAAAAAGGTTACAGTAACACCAAGGCTTGAATGTGTTATGTTTTTGTTTCTTTAAAGACAGGATCTCACTATGTACACTTGGCTGGCTTGGAACTATGTAGACAAGAGCAACCTTGAATTCACAGAGATCTGCCTGCCTACCCAGCTTCAGTATCTGGGATCCTAGGCTAGGTAGGGTAGTACACATCTTTAATCATAGCAGAGACCAGTGATCTTTGAGTTTGGGGCCAGTCTGGTCTACAGAGCAAGTTCTAGGTCAGCCAGGGTTGCATACTGAGTGTCTGTCTCAAACAAACAAACAAACAAAATCAAATCTAGAGTTCTGTGTTTATTTGTTTGTTTTGAGATAGGGTCTCCTTATGTCACTAGGTTAGCTTAGCTTCAAAATCAAGATCCTTCTGTTTCTACTAACTGGGTGGCAAGATTAATTATGGGCATGTACTATCACATGTAAACTAAACTAAAACCTGGGTTCTTGAGCAGGCGACATTGCTCAATGAGTACAGCCAACTGGTGCCAAGCTTATCTATCAACTTGTGTTCAACCCTAGAACTCACACGGTAGAAGAGAGAACCACATAAGACTTAGGAAGCTGAGACTGGCCTGAATAGCAAGACCTTGTCATGTTGGAGGAGGAAAAGAGGAGGAAGAGGAGGTGATTCCTGACTTTGGGGCCAGCAAGATGGCTCAGTGGGCAAAAGCACTTCCTGCAAAAATCCAACAACCTGAATTAAATCCCTGGAACTCATATAAAGGAGGAAGGAGAACTGACTCCACTACATGTACTACACGTGCAAGTGTGTCCCCATCCACATCACATGCGCACAGTGATAAAATAGAGACCAGACTTTCAGAACCAGAAATTTTGCTGATAACCACAGGATTGAAGTGAATTGATCATAATCATAGAGCTAGTTAGTTAAACATTGTGTGTGCATCTAGTACTAAAACCTGAACTTTGGTTCAATTCTTAGCTCATTCTCAGATCATATTTCTTCTTCTGGAAATAAGCAACTCATATTTCCCTTGCAACCAAACTCTAGCCTTCCCTCCTTCAGATGGAAGGAGACCCACTTACCGTGTAGTGAGATCCGAAGGATGCTGCCAGTCTGGGTTCTGCATATGCACTTGATCCATCAGGGTATCTAGCTCTCCCAAGGGACCTGTGATAGAGGGATGAGTGCTTAGTAAGCAGCAGAGTGTACTATGTTCGCCTCAATCAAAGCCAAGCACATGCTTCAGAGGAAAAGAAAGAGGCACTTGACCTTACAATACCCGCTATGACTATCACAAGCAACCAGCACAGAACTTCCTAAGTCAGACTGAGGCACTGCTTTTGGATAATGATGGGGAAACAACATGGCAACAATCATTTCCTACCACTTATCCTATAAGGTATGACACACTTCACAGGTACCTAAGAACATGGCCTTAAACAAGACATTATGTCTGTCCCTGCCCTCATTTAATGTGGGAGATAATTTTTATAAGTGTTATAAGGAGATACGCAAGCAGCAACTGGGATTGGGGTATGGGAACTGGGAGACTAGTCAGGGATGGAAAAGATGCATAGAAATTAGTGAGGTAACAGGCTGTAGAAGGCTTGTTTAAGAACAGTAGCTAATACAAAGGCTCAGAGACAAAGGACAATAAAATAGGAGTTTAGAACAGATGGAGACAAGCACTCTTTGCTAACAAGAGAAATTGTTAAAGATAATTTTCCACAATCTTTGAGAACCTAACAATGTACTAAATACTTCTACATATTTCATGTTACAAAATCAAAAACAACAAAAACCATATATGTTCAAATAGCTATTCTAACTTGTCTTACGCTATAATATTCTGTTGCTGTGAAGAGACACAATGACCAAGGCAACTCTTATAAAAGAAAGCATTTAACTGAAGGCTTGTTTAGTTTTGGAGGGTTAGTCCATGATCAGCATGGCAGGAAGCAGACAGGTATGGTGCTAGAGCAGTAGCTGAGAGCTTTAGATACTAATTTGCAGGCAGCAGGCAGAGAGAGAGACTAGACTGGGCCTGGTACGGACTTAGGGAAAGTCCACCCTTAGTGACACACTCCACCCAAAAAGGCCACACCTCCCAATCCTTCTAAAACAGTTCCACTAACTGGGAGGGGGACAACTAGTCAAACATATGAGTGTAGTGATATTTTATTTGTATTTTATATTTTAATAAATAAAGTTTGCCTGAAGATCAGAGTGCAACACTAAGCCAACAGAGGCCAGGGACTGGTAACACACGCCTTTAACCCCAGGATTGAGGAGACAGAGGCAGGTGGATCCCTGTGAGTTCAAGGCTACCCTGGGCTACACAAGATAGATCCAGAACAGACTCAGGTGGTGGTGGTTCACACACCTTTAACCCCAGCACTGCAGAGATGGAGACTGGAGCAATCCGACTCAGCAGAGAGGGAGAGATATAAAGGGGAAGAAAAAGGAACTCAGTGGAGTATGGAGTCTGAGGAGTTAGGGAGACAGGATCTTGCCCTTTTGGGCTGAAGATTTGGTAGAGGTAAAAGGTCTCTCTAGTGGTTGGCTGCTTTGCTTTTCTGACCTTCAGCTTGAACCCCAATATCTGTCTCTGGGTTTTTATTATTCATGTTGTATATGAGCTTATGGAGGCCTTCTCATTCAAACTACGACATAACTGTACAGAGGTTCTCTGAAATATAATTTCACTATGTGGGTTTTTATTTGCAAGTTCTTGTTATTAAGATTTTATTAAAAATCACATGGAGATAAATGTTCTTAATATCACTTGAAAGATAAAAAACTATAGCCAAAAAAAGTAAACTTGTTTTAACTGTCTAATAACCCAATTCAACTTGTTCTTTTTGTTTTGTTTTGTTTTTTCAAAACAGGGCTTCTCTGTGCAAGTCCTAGCTGTCCTCCTAGAACTTGCTTTGCAGACCAGGCTGCCCACGAACTCACCGAGATCCACTTGTCTCTGCCTCCTAAGTGCGGGAATTTAAGGTGTTTGCCACCACTGCCCAGCTTAAACTTGTTCTTGTGTGACACTATGCTCCTGTCACACATGTCAAATGCTTTTTAAAAAAATGTATTTTATGCTGGGTGGTGGCACTGGAAGTCATTGGCTTCCCTGAAACTGGAGTTGTGGATGGTTGTTACCTACTATTTGCATACTAGAAACAAGACCCAGGTCCTCTACAAGAGCAAGAAAGTTCTAGTTGTGACAGGGCAAAAGTTCCTTCATCTTGTCTCAGCTGCAGCTATCTTTGGTTTAACCTGAAACTGACTCTGTCCCCTTTTCTATTCCCGAGCTCCCAGCTGTGAAAAGCCCCATAGGAAAGCACCCAACCCTATTCTAGAAACTCAGGGTTGAAATGCCCCAGCTAATGGCATGTTTTGGCTTCAGTTAAACTGCTTGCTTGTTTGCTTGCTTGCTTGCTTTACTTCCTTCTGCAACTGCTGATCAGGACGCAGTCTTTCTGTGTTCTCTGCCTTTAAAAGCTCCTCATAAAATGCATTTAGGGATGCTCCACAAGAAGTGTTTCTCAGCTGGGTGGTGGCGGCACACACCTTTAATCCCAGCACTCGGGAGGCAGAAGCAGGCAGATCTCTGAGGTAGCCATCCTGGTCTACAAGAGCTAGGCTCCAAAGATGTACAGAGAAACCCTGTCTCGAAAAAACCAAAAACTCCAAACCAAACCAAACACCAAGCAAAAAAAGAAGTGCTTCTCTCCAGACAAGTCTCTAGCTGGTCTGTTACAGAACCTCAGTTCAGACTCTGGTCATGCCACTGCCCCATCTCTCCAGCCTTGAAATGCTTGTAGTCTTAACCCTTGGGAAGCTGAGGCAGGAGGACCCACATGGGTTCAATGCTACCCTGGGCGACAGAGATCACACCTCAGAAATAAACAAAAACCCAAAAATGAAAAATAAAGAAAATCAGTACCAGTAACACCACCACCACCCTGAAACCTGGGGCTGGAGAAGAGACTGCTCAGCGCTCGCTTTCTTGCTGAGGATCTGGGTTTGGTTTCCAGTATCCACGCCGCTTACAGCTGTTTGTCATTCCAGTTTCAGAGGATCCAACATCCTCTTATGATTGATTTCCACAGGCACCATGCATGCATGTGGTACAGACATATCCACAGACAAAATACCCATGTACATAAAATCAAAATAAACATTAAAGAAAAAAAAACCCACAAAACTTTAAACAAGCTAAAACTGCACAAAAACAGAAATAAGATTGAACCCTAGTTTGGAAACAATTTCCCTAGACTAGCAGTTCTCAAATTTTAATATGTATATAATAAGATGGAGATTACAAAACAGAGTGCTGGTGGCTAACACCCCAGAGTTGCATAAGTCGGGGGTTTCTAACATTCTTAGTGCTGCTGATCCTGCTAAGAACTGCTTTTCTTTCTAATTACCTTAATGTTAAAATCGTCTTTATGTTATCATGTATATATAAAATATATGAAGTATATTGAAATACCTTTTCATAATTAAAAGAGAGCATTTTTAGGTATGGGAAACTGTAGTTCACTAAGTGTATCAATCACACCCCAGGCAGGGTCCACACCCAGGACTACACAAAACAGGCTTCTGTGGGGTTTTCTGTGTGTTTTTTGTTGTTGTTGTTATTTTTTTATATTAGTTTTTTTGTTTTGATTTTCATTTTTTTGTTTGTTTTGGGGAGCGTTGTTTTTGAAAGTGAGAAAGAACATGAAGTTAGGTGGGGGAGTGGGGAAAGGGAAAGTGTATGATCAAAATATACTGTATGAAAAACCCTCAAAATTCTTAAAAATATATATACATATATATGCACACACAATTGCTTCTACATCTTTAACCATTTCCTAGGATAAGGTAAAGAACACAAATTGAAACTAAGGTGAATCCTGTTCATTTCTGAGACAGCAAAGAGATTCTTTTCCTAGTTTTCAAACATATTCCTATAACCAATTATACAAATCTAAATGGAAAACTCAACTCCAATAGGTTGTGACGAGGGAATATTCCCCGTCCTTGTGAAAAGTTGAACATTACTAATTATATCCACTCCTCTTTAGAAAGGAAAACCAATGAATTCGATTTTCTGAGGCAGCCTCACCGCTTTTATTGTTGTTTATTTGTTTGAGGCAGGGCCTTACTATGTAGCCCCAGCTAAACTAGAACTCCCTATGTAGACCAGATTGGTCTCAAATAAAGATCTGTCTGCCTCTGTGCCCAGAGTGTTGGGATCAAAGGCATGTGTTACCACACTATACCTGGATTGGATTATGTTTTTAGAATACTGTATTGTGTAGAGCTGAACAACTGAGGTAGAATGTGAGATGCCAGTGGCAGTGGGTCACACGAAGGTAGGTTTTGTCATGATCTGTCTCTTGGCACCTTCTTCTATCTCAGACATGGGATTTGAGGTCAGGAGCTGATTGATTGGCAACATTGGGAGAAATCATGAAGCAGAGTGGCAGCACTTTGGGGACATTCATGGCCATCGGAATAGGTATGCAATGCTAATCAAGAAAATAACTGTTGGGCTGGAGAGATGACTCAGTGGTTAAGAGCATCTTCCAAAGGTCCTGAGTTCAATTCCCGGCAACCACATGGTGGCTCACAACCATCTGTAATGAGGTCTGGTGCCCTCTTCTGGCCTGCAGGCATACACACAGACAGACTATTGTATACATAATAAGTAAATAAATAAATATTTAAAAAAAAAAGAACTGTTAAATTTATTTCCCATCCATCCTGACACTTGTACTACAACAGAATGAAGCCTTTTCAAAGTGGGCAACAAGATGGCTCAGCAGTTCTGGGCACTTGACAACATGCATGCCAGCCTGAGTCTGGTCCTTAAACAATTACAAGACAGAACCCACTCTAGCTAAGTTGTCCACTGGTTCTCACACTAGAGGACTGTTGAACACAACTATTTTGTTTAAAGAGAAAGAAAGAAAGAAAGAAAGAAAGAAAGAAAGAAAGAAAGAAAGAAACAAAACAAAACAAAACAGGCATAGCTATCATACTCACTAGTAATCCCAGTGCTGGGGAGGTAGAAGCAGCCCGATCACTAGGGTTCACTGGCCAGACAGCCTAGTTTAATTCACAAGTTCCAGGCCAATAAGAGACATTGCAATAAAAAACCAAGATGGATGACCTAAGAT